GTTGTAATGTGACAAAATATGGAAAAGTTCAAGGGGTATGAATACTTTTGCAAACCACTGTATAACAAATAACTTCATTTCTGGACATTTATGGTTTGATTTCTTTGTATGTATGGATCACTTGGGTTGTTATTGACATCTGGTGAAAATTTCATGTCATTAGCACCTCTAGTAATATATTTACTGAGATAAATGTTGACGTGTTCAATACTTATTTTACCCGCTGTATACAGTAGGGGGCATGATGTGAATCAAGAAGGGTAAATAAATATGTTAACACTGTCACTGCTCAATCTGTAGCTGAGCATCTGTAACATCAGCTCATTTGCTCATGCACTAAAAGAAATACTACCAGGAGGGCTGTTTGTTTTTAGCATGTAGAATTTCACTAGACCACTCAATGACAGATTAGATTTGATTTCAGTCTTTCATTACCTGCATTGTTTTATAGAAAAGGAAACATTTGGAAGATGTAGATTTTTAATTCCAGAAAAAATCCAATAAAACAGGGATGAGATTAATTATAACATTGTCTAGAAATTAGGTCTTTTTAGGTCGGCAAGTTCATATAAACAAATACGTACACATCGAAAATCGAAAAATCTATATTTTATTAATCAGAATGTATGTAATATTAAAATAGTTTACAGATAATAATTTAGCACACCTTTATAATTACGTATGGAGATAATTATTTCAAGGTTTTTTTTCGTAAATGGAGTGCATTAACCTATAATCTGAAAGTACATCACTTAGCGCCTGTGCAAATGATATGTGTGTGTGTCTGTCTGTGTGTTTGGGGTGGGGGGTGTTTGTTCTCTCAGGGGGGCTTATGCTCCTGTTCTTTGAAAACCCCTGCCTTAAACTGTTTTGTGTGTAAAATACTTAGCGTATTTTTCGGACTATAAGCCGCGACTTTTTCCTGAACTTTGAACCATGCGGCTTATAGTCCGGTGCAGCATATACGTGGATTTTTTTTCTTCAGCCATCAGGGGGCTCTTATGCTCCATTTGCTTCAACCACTCGCTTCAAAAAAAGAAAGGAAAAAAAAGAAAAAAAGAAAAAAGCGATCGCTTCCAGAGCCGACTGTTGTTCCAGGAAGCAGCGATTTAAAGATTGTCAACGGCCAAAAACTCATAAAAGGGGATAAAACAGACATTTTTCACGGTGGAATCTGACTGATAAAAACTTTGGAGCTTAATCCAGGACCAGTTTGTGGAAAAACGTCGAGTGAAGAGCCGCGGACTTTTTTTCCCCCGCATTGCACTCCCCGGGGAAGGAATCTCATGAAGTGACGTATGCTGGAGCGGGAGGGCTTTCCCAGCAGCTCGGCTCGGGGTTTCTGGGAAGAACTATGAAAGGTCAGTGCAAAAACAAACGCCGAACGTCGACCGGTCAACAGCCGAGCAACCATACTGCCAGCTTAGCCGGAGGTGTAGCACCATTTTGTTTTAGCTAGTAGCAGACACGACACGACGGATCTTCGACAGACACGATGTTGGACAGTATGCGGGCCCACATCACCGATTCGGTGAAAGCAGCCATCAAGAAAACAAACTCAATTCCTGCTGTTAKTCCTGGARRTACAACAAAGTTTTTGCAACCCCTGGACATCAGTGTGAATCGTGCATTTAAAGCAGCACTCAGGGCTGAATGGGAGGCTTGGATGACTGACGGGGATAAATCATTCACAAAAACTGGCCGAATGCGAAGAGCGCCATTTCCTTTATTTTTTTTTTGTCTTTTTATTTTTGAGAGCGTCATTTCC